GTCCAGAGCAAAACCAAGAAGATTTCTATATATGAGAAAGCTTCGCCACCATTAGCCAAAATATTCCCCGCCAAATTAAAATAAACGTCACATGTGGAACGGAACGCTATAAAAAAAACCAAAATGACATTATGTAAATGTTAGGTCACCTCCAGCTATGTAAATGTTCGTGATCTACTACTGCCAGAAACTGCTGCTATGTAGATGTAGCTATGATTGCTCATTAACAATCGTATAAATTAGTTCTTACAGAGGCTAGCACAATTAAGTTTGTATTTGGCTATGAGTATGCTAGAGAAAATCCAAGACAAATTCATAGCAATCCACTATCAAACTCGTTTTTGAAGATCTAATTCCTTGTCTTACGTTTTATTAAAAGGGAGGCAGGGAATCTCATAAATACCTTAAGAAATCATGAAGAATAACGTGAAGAATACAGAACGTGTAATGTTCAATGTAAGATCTTATTAAAGGGGAGCTGGGATATAAAAATCTCTTAACACTCTGAATACGGTGGGTAAAAAACTTTACGCCGACTACGAACCTCACAAAAACGTGTAACGGCAAGTTTGCAATGGCACAACTTAGCCATTTCTTAATAAATTTCAAAAATTGTGGTACGTTTAGAATTCCTAAGGCTTGTAGATGATTTGATTGTAAAAAGATTGAAAATAGAGTCGTCTACTTTTTTAAAAAGCGAAAAGAGTTGTTATACGTTTTTTGAATGGTGTGTTTGTAGGGTTTTGCAAGTGACGCACGATCTGTAATTTAGATTAATGGGCACAAATGTTTACAATTAGCTAGAATACAGTCATGGTTCCTATATATGGATCCTGGAGACAACGGAATGGTCTTCGAAAAATCCGGAACATCCGTAAAAGTGGTCATTCCATGAACCTGATCCTAAAGCTGTGCGGTTTTTTGAAAACATTAGGAAGTGTGATATAAAAAATATTCGGGGTCGTGACATAAACATGTACCTGGATGGCCATGGGACCGTCCTCCGGAAGATCCGGAACATCCGTAAGAGTGGACAATCCATGAAACTAATCCCAGAGCTCCACGTTTTTTTAGCATTAGGATCTGTGATATAAGAATGAACTAGGAATTGTAATGATCGAAATAATTTGGGGTTGTGACATAATCATGAATATGGATGTCCATAGGACCGACCTTCGAAAGATCCGGAACATCCGTAAAAGTGATCAATCCCTGAAACTGATCCTACAACTACGCGTTTTTTAACTTTAGGATCTGTGATATAAGAATGAATTTGGGTCATGGACTCAGATGGCCATCCAGCGGAAGATCCGGAACATCCGTAAAAGTGGTAAATCCACGATCCTGATCCTAGAGCTCCACGTTTTTTTATAAACATTAGGAACTGTGATGATAGAAAGAATTTGGAGTTGTGACATAAACATGAACCTGGATGTCCATGGGACCGTCCTTCAGAAGATCCGGAACATCCGTAAAAGTGGTCAATCCATGAAACTGATCCTAGAGCTCCGCAGTTTTTGAAAAACACTAAGAACTGATGAGATGATGAGAAAGAATTTGGGGTCGTAACATAAACATGGATCGATGGCCATGAGACCGTCCTCCGGAAGATCCGGAATATCCGTGAAAGTGGGAAATTCATGAAACTGATCCTAGAGCTCCACGGTTTTTTTCGAAAACACTTGGAACTGTCATATATAAATTAATTTGCGGTCGTGACATAAACATGTACCTGGAAGGCCATGGGACCTACGTCCACAAGATTTTCATGGATACCATGGATGATCCACTTTAATGATGATTCGGATCTTCTGGAGGACGGTCCAATGGCCATCCAGGTTCATGTTGATGTCTCGACCCTACATTTTTTCATATATCACATTTCGAAGTGTTTTCGAAAAAACTACGGAGCTCTAGAAACAGTATTATGTTAAGACCCCAAATTCATTCTTATTTCACAGTTCCACGGTTTTTTCGTTCTTGGATCAATTTTATGGCTTGATTGTTTGCAATTGGACCTTATTGTCCTCTGCTGTCTGAAGAAGTCGTCTCCTCTCTACTCAATCCATGGCCACACTTCGCCAGCCTCGTAATCTGCGAAGGGTCCGCAGGTCGCCTTTTACTTGGTCGATCCACCTTGCCCGCTGCGCGCCTTTTCTTCTTGTTCCTGTTGGGTCGCATTCAAGAACCATTTTCACTGGGTCGTCGTGCAACATTCTTACAACATGCCCAGCCCACCGTAGTCGCCCAATTTGCAATGTGGACAATGGATGGTTCCCAAAAGCTGGTCCAATTCGTGGTTCTTTCACCTCCTCCACGTTCCGTCATCTATCTGCACTCCACCGTAGATGGTACGCAACACCTTCCGTTCAAAAACACCAAGGGCGCGTTTGTCCTCCACGAGCATAGGCACAGTCTCGTGGCTGTAGAGGACCACCGGTCTAATCAGCGTTTTTTAGATTGTCAACTTCGTGACAAATTTTATTCGCTGTGGTCTCCTCCGGAGTCCAAAGTAGGCACGATTCCCTGCCATAATGCGTCTTTGAATTTTTCTAGTGGTATCATTTTCGCCAGTCACCGGTGCGCCCAAATACACGAACTCATCGACCACCTCGAACCTCTTCGTTTCATGCATTTTGTCATCGATGCGTTGATGGCAAGTCCAATTCGCCTAGCTTCAGCCTTCAGTCTGATGTCCGTTTCCGCCACCGTCTCAAACTTCCGTGCCATGATTTTGGTGACATCGGCGAAGCCAAGAAGCTGGATGGACTTCCTGAAGATCGTGCCTCTCGTGTCTATCCCTGCTTTTCTGATCACACCTTCTAACGCGATGTTGAATAGCAGACACGAAATTCCCCCCTTCGAGATATAAAGGGACTCGAGAGTGTTCCCGATACTCGAACAACGCACATCACTCGATCCATCGTCGGCTTGACCAATCGCGTCAGTTTACCCGGAAATCCGTATTCGTGCATAATCTGCCATAGCTGATCTCGATGATTTGTGTCGTATGCGGATTTGAAATCGATGAACAAATGATGTGTGGGCACGTTGTATTCGCGGCATTTCTGCAGAAACTGTGGAATCGCGAAAATTTGGTCCGTGGTAGCGCGGGCACCCATGAATCCCGCCTGGTATTGCCCCATGAACTCTCTTGCAAATAATGACAGGCGGTGGCATAGAATTTGGGAGAGTACATTGTAAGCGGCGCTCAGCATTCTAATCGCGTGGTAGTTGCTGCAATCAAACTTGTCGCCCTTTTTGTATATTGGGCATAGTAGCATTGGTGCTCAGCACGGAAAACAAGATCGACGGAAAACAAATTAAAAAAAAAGTGCATGGCCCCTATGACCCGAGGAAAATGATAAATAACTTAACAAGGTGATGCGCTTGTCAGTATACGTGTGTTGTTAAACGTTACTTATCTCTATAGCTTTATGGCAGTTCTTACTCCATGCACCGCTTACTTGAATTAATTAGATTTCAACCTTAACATTTATTCGAAAATGGTAATAAACAAGTAACCAACAAGACCCTTCACCGTTCTTTTAGCAATATTAGAGTATCTTGTACTTGTATTTTAGTAACTGTATGTAAGTCGTCTATTTGAGCAATTCTGCTGTTAATAATTCAACTACCCAGCTTGATCCTCTCTGGTTTCGATCAAACTTGCCTCATATCTTTGGTATGGGAATTATTCTATTCATTAATCTAAAACCGAAAATCGATTCAATTTGCATAGCTTCATGTTGCAGGGTTTGTGATTTATGGAGATAAGAGGCCAACCAGGGACCGTTTTTACTTACTGCGCAATAAAATATAATCTCTGATCACGTCTACCATAAAATCTCTGATCACGTCTACCTTCGGAAGGGAAGTAAAGCCGTTGGTCCCCGGTTCATGAGTTGATGGGTCGCTAGGTTGGGTCCAGGTGTAGGGCCTGCCGCTCTTGCGTCGGTAGCATTGGTACTCAGTACGGAAAACAAGATCGGCGAAAAAAAAAATCAAGAAAAATAAATATCGTTGGTTAAAAACCAGTCAGAATAGAACATTTAAAATCGCTTTTATTAGAAGTCGTGCGAATCTGTGCTGAAAAATTAACGATTTTAACGTGTACACATCAGTTAGATGGGTGGCATTACAGCGAATGAACCCTAGTACGGAGAAGGCTTTGGCTGTTACTGCGGAGATGTGCTCGTTAAATCGAAGTTTAGAGACCATTATCACACCCAAGTCCCGAATGGCCTGTACCCATTCCAGCGTAGTAGTGGCGATATGGTACTGGTGAATAGTCATCGACCAGCTTCGGCTAATGGGGTGTTTACACTTAAGCTAGTTCACTAGCACTAATGAGCTCGCTGCTAGCAAAAACGCTCACTAGCATAATGTAAACAGGGCATCAGTATCTACAAGCATGAAATTTCAGGAGCAACTGAAATTCGTGCTAGTTAGCGAGTACACTAGCGCGAGTAAATCCGCACAGTTGTAAACACCACATAAACGTAATATCTTTGCATTTACCAATGTTAATGCACATACCGTTCTCATTACACCATTGCAGCAAGTCGTCGATATCGGTCTGCAGCGCAATACAGTCTAGTCTAGATGCGATAATTCTGTTTTTTTTTTGCTGATGACTGCATATAGCATTTTACGAGAAACGATTCGAAGGCATAAGTCGTTGATGAATAGGACAAATATCACACTACCCTGTGGGACACCAGATGGTATGCTAAAGGTTCTGGAGCGTGAAGAATTCAAATTGTATGGACAATTGCCACGCAAGGGGTGGGGGGTCAAGAATTCCATAAAACTGTCTACGTAGTTAATGAACAGCTTCTCTAGCTAGTTTGAAGTACACAGAACTAGGAATAGGTGGTAGATCTTACATCCCGTAACGTACTCGAAAATGTGATCTATCCACGTGACGGGTAGTAGATTACTTTCCAAAATTAAAACGCATGAAAATTTAAGATGTGTCTCTCTGCTCTTTTTTTCAGCCAACGGAATCTTCCTCCGACTTCACACCACTAGTGAGACCCCGACCGGAAAATCATTCTTCCAACGGTAATGAATCATCTATTTCTGATGCAGATGTACAAAAGCGCATTCAGGAAGTTTTTAACCGTAAGGGATATTCAAACCCAGATCCTAGTCCAAATGATTCCCAAGAAGCACAGCCTGAAGTAGTAGCAGTGAGAATTGTAGGTAGACAAATCTCCAATTCCCATCCATTTTCAGTTAATTCCGCCTGACGCTGACAACGCGTCACTGTTCGAAGGTTTGTTGATGTTAAAGAGCGTGTTTTCCCTAGGCTAGTCAACCGACGAGACGGCGCAAGCGTCCATTATGGAAAATCGATGAAAATTTCGATCCAAGAAAATCGTACGTTATCAAACATCCAAACGGAACAATCACCTACGTACCACCGAAGGACTTAGATATAAGCGGCACAGTTGCCACTGGGACTACGACTACGCCGAGCAGCACCGTAACCAACGTGCTCATCGATAAGATGAGTGAAGCAAGTACGAGCGATAGTGTAAATTCTCGAAGTAGGCGTGCTTAAACAAAAACTGCATACACTTGGCTAGGTCTGTTCAATGGAAAGCTGAATCTACGAGAGTAGAATAGCACATACTCAATTTGAATCAATGAGTAAAAGTAAATATTGTCATCAACTTAATTGAATTTAAATGCTTCACCAAAATTGTGATTCTGACCATCTTCAGCACTAATTTAACAAGCTCACCATTGAACAGATCTGATCATTGCTTCTATAACTTAGATTCTATCCTATTTGCTGTTACATGAGTTTATGGAATATTCTCTTTAATTTACAAAACGTAATTTTTTCAATTCTATGAATACTATACAGTTGAGTCTGACTATGCTGCAATGTGTTGAATCTGATCGCGAAGTGGTATGTGTGGTAGATAGAGTTGGTGTGGAATAATAATCATTAAAAAAAAATGAAAATTAAATCATGTAATGAAATGCTTAATTTGAGTAAACCAAAATTAGCGTGAATGTGAATAAAATCTAACTATCATTGCTTTGTCAGGGCAAATCCCGAGACAGTTACCAGCGCTGTGTAAAAGAGGGAACATTATGTGGGTATAAATATGGGCTACCTAAGCTCACAGAAGGCATCGAAGACAGCTCGAGCGCATTCGCTGCCAGACTGTTGAGCAGTTCAGTCGATTTGAATTCTCTCTAGTTTCGTTCGTTCGTTCGCAAGTCGAATTAGCTCCGCGTTGTGTAGTGACGCTCTCGCTGACCCAGCCATGGGTAAGAAATCGCGCGGTAACGCGAGTGCCGGTTTACCGGGAAAACAGACTCTCCCAGGAGACGGCGCGACCACCGAGCCAGCCCAGAAGAAGCAGAAGAAAACCCCATTGCCCATCCCGACAGGCGTTGCGGACCCGCAGCCGGGGCCTCCCGGAACTAAACGACCCAGACCTGAAGACAGCAGCGCCACCGTATCAGCAGCAAAAAAGCTGCTGAGCAACAATCCGTTCTCCGCCCTGCAGAACGGAGCGCAGCCGCAGTCGGACCCTGAGACGGTGCCGAAAAAAGTTAAGTTGCCACCCTTCTATGTGAAGGGCTTCCCTCCCGGGCTATGGGAGCAGCTGGATTTCTACATTAAGCAGGGCCTTCGCTGCACCATTCAACGGTGCACGGAAGGCTACAAACTGATGGTCCCGGCCGAAAAACACTTCAACGCAGTTCAGGCCCTCTTGGACAGAATGAAGCTGGAGTACTTCTCCCACGACATCGAAGCCACCAAGCCGCTGAAAGTGGTGCTGCGCGGGCTCCACGACATGGACACCACCACCTTATTGGACGAGATTAAGGCGAACGGCCTCAAGCCGGTCGAAGTCCACAAGATGACCCGCAGCAAGGCCATCAAGTATCGTGACCAGCTCTACCTGGTCCATCTGGAGAAGAACACCACAACCGTGAAGGATCTCCAGTCGACACGCACACTGTTCCACATCGTAGTGAAGTGGGAGCGGTATAAACCCACCCACCGTGGCGTCACTCAGTGCTCGAACTGCCTATTGTTCGGGCACGGCACCAGGAATTGCCGCATGGCCAGCCGCTGCATCAAATGCGGCAAAAACCACAAGATCGACAACTGCGACAGCATCGAGGAAGCCACTCCCACATGCGCCAACTGCGGTGCCGCCCACAAGGCCACGAGTAAGGCCTGTCCGAAGCGGGCCGAATACGCCGAGATCCGGAAGAAGGCCTCGTCCAACAGCCAGCCCGGTCGCAAGAAGGTTGCAGAAAACAACGCGCAGAACTTTCCTCCGTTATCACCGGTCCAATCACGGCCAATTCCAGTGTTGCCGCCGCTCCCGCTCAACCAACAGTTGGCTGCCGCTGCAGTACCCGGTCAAGCCTCCGGGCCATCGACGGATCCCCCTGCTCCGGGATTGGCCGGTACAACCGGTGAAGCTACAGACGATTCTCCGCTGTCAACGGATGAGATCGTCACACTGTTGGCCCAGGCCATCATCATCAAGCGCACCTGCGCAACAAGAACACAACAGCTCCAAGCTATCATCTCCTTCGTCGCTAATTATGGACCGTGAACCCATAAAGATCGCCAACTGGAACGCTCGCTCCGTAGGGGCGAAAAACATTGAGCTTGCAGACTTCCTCCGCAAGCACGACATCGACGTGGGCCTTCTCACCGAGACTCACCTCAAGACCGGTGACAGCTTCTGGCTGCCCGACCACAGCATTGTCCGGCTTGATCGCACCAGCTCCAGGGGGGGCGGTGTCGCGGTCATCATCAAGAAAGGCATCAAGTACTGCACCCTACCCCACTACCGCACTTCCATCATCGAGGCCGTTGGCGTAGAGGTGGAAACATCGACCGGAAACGTCCGGTTCATCGCCGCCTACTGCCCCCGGCAATGTACCGTTAGCAATGGTACAGCACAGCAGTTCAAGAACGACCTTGCCATCATAACCCACACCAATGCCCGCTTTGTAATCGGAGGGGACCTGAACGCCCGGCACGAGGCCTGGCGGAACTACCAGCAGAACCAGAACGGCCGCCTGCTATTCGACCATTCCCAGCATGGTCTCTATTCCGTCTGGTTTCCGGACGAACCAACCTTCACATCACCGACGGGCAACCCATCGACGCTGGACCTGTTCTTGGCAAACACCAGATTAGCCAAGCCGGTTGCCGTCAACGACCTGAGTTCGGACCACCAACCGGTGCTGACCGAGCTGGGCTACAACGTGGCCCCTGCACCGTGCCAGCGGAAGGACTATCATCGAGTCAACTGGGTCCAGTTTCGACGCGTGGTCGACCGCCACATCGACGACAACCCACCGCTCGACACAGTGGATGACATCGACCGGGCCCTGGAGGGTCTCCATCAAGCCATATCCGTGGCTGACGAAGAGTGCGTTCGACGAGTTCCTGTGAGGGGTAAGTTTCAAGCAATTGATTCCCACACCAAACTCTTGATTCGGCTCAGAAATGTTCGTAGACGCCAGTTTCAGCGGACTGGGGATCTGCAGCGTAAATACGAAATGGTCGATCTGAATCGGCAGATCGCTTCCAGAATGGTCTCAATCCGGAACGAGAGTTTCGGGCGGCTCGTTCAGAACCTGGACGACCGTTCCAGACCATTCTGGAAGGTTGCCAAGGTGCTGAAGTCTCACCCCAAGCCCATTCCACCACTTAGAGTCAATGACGAACGGCTTATCACCAACGAAGAGAAGGCCAATGCAATTGGGGAGCACATTGCCCAGTCGCATTTGCTTGGCTCTACAATCCCAAGTCCACTCGAGAACCAGGTTGTGCAGTGCGTCCAGACGTTAGATGCCTCCCCTTGTGCCGTCCCTCCAGAAGAACGGATTACAGAGGAACAAATTTGCTCAGCGCTGAAACACAGTACGAACATGAAGGCTCCCGGGTTTGACGGAATATTCAACCTAGAGTTGAAAAATCTCAGCGCGAGGGTGCACTCGCTGCTGGCTGCCATCCTCAACAGATGCTTGGAGCTGCACTACTTTCCAAGCATCTGGAAGGTGGCAAAAATCATCCCGATCCGCAAACCTGGGAAAGACCCTTCACTACCGTCAAGCTACAGACCGATTAGCCTGCTCTCAGCGCTGAGCAAGCTGTTCGAAAAATTGATCCTCAGCCGACTAAACAAGTTTGTGGAGGAACATGACATTCTTCTTCCGGAAAAGTTCGGGTTCCGTAAGGGGCATTCCACCAATCATCAGCTAGTGCGGGTGATGAATAACATCCGGAGTAACAGAGCTGTATCCAAGTCCACAGCCATGGCCTTGTTAGACGTCGAAAAGGCGTTTGACAATGTCTGGCACGACGGACTTATATACAAGCTTTGTAACTCCAACTTTCCACCATACCTTGTGAAAATCACCCGTAACTATCTCCAGCAAAGGTCGTTCAGGGTGTCGTTGAATAGTTCCCTTTCGGGACAATTTCCGATCCCAGCAGGTGTTCCGCAAGGGAGTCTGCTGGGACCACTGCTTTACAGCATCTACACGTCGGACATCCCTCCTCTAGGAGACGGTTGCGTGTTCTTTCTGTTTGCAGATGACACCGCGATAGCCGTCAAGGGTAGGATGCCTCGTGAAATTACGAACAAGCTCCAACGATGCCTTGACACCTTTACTGATTATGCCACCACGTGGAAAATCAAAATCAACGCCTCGAAAACCCAAGCGATCATGTTCCTTCACAGACAATCATTAAAACTTAAACCGTCTCCCTCCTGTACCGTAATAATGGATGGTACAAGGGTCGAGTGGTCCACTGATGTTACTTATCTCGGGATGTTGTTCGATGAGAAGCTCCTGTTCCGCTCGCACATAGAGAAAACCCTAGTTAAGTGCTCCGCCTTGGTTAGGTGTTTGTATCCGCTCATTTGCCGCAGATCCCGCCTCTCAAGGCAAAACAAACTGGCTGTTTACAAACAGATCATAGCCCCCGCGATCTTCTATGCCGCCCCGGTGTGGGAATCGTGCGCTCAGACCCACAGGAACAAAATCCAGGTTGCACAGAATAGAGTGTTGAGGATGATCCTAGATCGTCCATTCGACACAAGAATAGCAGACCTCCATCAAGAGGCAGAAATTCCCAAAGTAGATTCCAAAATTGATGATATGACAACTAAATTTATTCAAAAATGCAATCTTTCTGAACATGCTTTAATAAGCAATTTGTACATAGTAGGTTAAGTGTATATAGTAGAGTAGGTTAGTTTTAAGCTGTAAATAGTAGTATTAAGTAGTTTCTCTTCAAATTCTAAAAACAAAACAAACCAATCCCACCAAGGTGGTCGACCGTGTACTAAGTCTAGGACTAATTCTGTAAAACAAATTTTGAATTTTGCCCATACCTAAAGATGAAGAAAGCAATTAAATCACTTAGTAAAAATTTATATGGTAATCGCCCAAGTTAAACTAAAATAAAGATCATTTAAACTAAAACTCGCAGAAGGCATTCTTGTGACGAACGTTGAAAGCGACGGGCGAGCAGCAGCAGCAGGAG